ATTGGAGGCCAAGACACCGCAGAGGCCAACAAAAAGAGCGGAGGGGCCGCAGGAAAGCGATGGATTGGCACCACGAGGGTCGCTGCTGTATCCGCCAGCGCCGCCCCCGTCTCTACAGAAAGATGCTGCACGCCGCAGTCCAAACCGTAGTCCATCCTCATCGGATGGGGAGCAACAATCCGCTGTCGGGCCCGACGGGTCGGAGGTGGTCGCCGTCATGCAAAACTTTTCACACTCTCGTGCTTTTCACAAGCTAACCAAGGCTGATCTTGTAGCCTATGCCAAACTGCACCACGTTGCCTTGGCTATGTCAAGCACCAAGAGGGAGCTGTTCGAGGTGGTACGTCGCTTGGTTCAGGCCAAGACGGACGAGACTCAATAACCGCGTGTTTTCTTACTGTGATGCATGTGTGCTTTATTATTAGTTTTTTTTCTTTTTTTTTTGTATGTGTTTTTCACTTCTAGAGGGCCCCGCCAACACTGCTACAGAGGGAGAAAGAGTGATAGAGAGGGACAGAAGGGGAACGAGAGGGAAAGATGAACAGAAACAAGCGATAAAAAAAGCCAAGAAGAGATGTGATGCACTCATGGTGCCGGTTTTTTTACATTTGGAGGTATCAAAACGAGTTGCTCCTCACCCCTCAAAATTTCTTTTTTTTTTTTTTTTCTCACTTTCTTTCCTTTCCCGGACTTCCATCTGTGCCTCTCTCAGAGCCTTGCTGTGCCCGGATGGCCCACAGTAGCGCAATGCTGCGGTCTGTGGATGTCTGGTGGTTTTTTTATTTGTCAAACTGCGCCTGTTTCTGTAATGTTTCACCTCACGGCGCCTCTGACGTATGCCTTTGGGCACGCATGTGCATGTATGTATTAAATGTATGTGGCTGCCCGATATTTACCGGAGGAAGACAAAGAAAGAGATATGCGGGGAGTAAAGTGAGTGAGGATAGCAATTCTTGCGTTTTATCATCTGTCTCACCCCTTCTCATTATTTATTTATTGTTTGTTTCTTCATGCAGCTGTATCATGTGTGCTATATTGAATAGAATTAGAATGTCATTTTGCGAGAATTGGGTAGTTCCGGGTATATTGGCAAAGACGAGCGGCAAATATGGGGGTGAAAGAAGGGGATGAGGGGGGCGTGTGTGGGCGTCTGTTTTTTACCTTTTTTTCTTTTATTCTTTTTGTGAATCCCTCATCACTTTTCCCGTCCATCCATTTTATATATTTATATTGTACGTCACCTATACACAATAACACACGGGATGCACGCTTCACGTGATGACAAGTGCGACGTGACAGCTTGATTTCCGCATGCATGCCTCTTGTCGCGGGGTCCTACCAGTTTTGGTCACCACCACATCTCTTCTTTTTTTCTTTTTTCCTTCAAGTGCGGAGTTTAGAGGGCATCAGTAGAGCCGCCTTCAATTGACGGAAAGGCACGGTTAATAGAGAGGGAGAGAGAGAGAGAGAGCGGGCACCTGTGAAGGGAGGAGACACCCGCGGACAAGAAGAGGAGGAGGGGTGAATAAAACAATAATAAACGAAATAAACAAGGAAGAGGGATAAAAGGGGAACAGAGGCCGATTGTGTGGTTGCTGTTGCAACTGTGGAGTGCAAAGAGGTTACCGCAAGGACGCCGCGGTGGGGGAGAGGCATAAGCGGAATTGGCAGAAGGTAAGCCCGGCCAACATTTCAAGTCATTCATCATGAAGGAGGAGCCCATGTCATCAAACAAGCGCATCCAACTGCTTCGAGAGCGGCTCGAGTTGTACAACGCCACCATCGCGGAGGCCATGGGTGTTGTCACCGGTGTCGCAGGCACGGAGACAACTGCCGCCCCCGGCACCAACACCAACAACAATGATGCCAAGAATAGCGGTCATGCCTCGGAGTGGCAGAGGACGGAGAGAGAAGGCGGCAGGAGTGCTGCAGCGCCCTGTTTGGAGCGCAATCTTTCAGCAGAGTTCAACGCGGCGCGTGCCACAGGAAGAGCGGCAGCAGCATCAGGTGCTGATAATAGTAATCGTAGCGAAGGTGGTGGTGGTGCACGCCGAATTGACAGGCGTACGGTGCCGCCACCACCAACCCCGCCAAATGAGTCAAGGCGAGGGGACTTGCGTTCGTGTAGTACGAGTTCCGCCAGTCACGATGACTCAACATCAACGTACTCATTCGAAAGCGGCGAGGAGGCGTTTCTGAATCCGTTTCTTAATGAGACAATCTCTGTGGAGGAGATTTCTGCATCGGTGCGCAAGGTGCGGCGGACAGAAATGGACTCCACCGCAAGGGCTGCGACATCGGTGCTCGTGGGTGGCCGGCAGAAGAGCACTAGTCCTCATGAATCCAATCGCGATATGTCCACAGTTGACGAGGGGGACAACAATGAGAGATCATCTCTCCCGTTACCGCCTTCACCCCCAGAGGAGGCGAAAGAAGAGGCGAGAAACAGGAAGGATACCACAACTGCAGAGGCAGCATCGTGGTTTGCCGGACTCGAGATGGCAAACAACAAGTTAGCTGTGACAGAGCAGGCGATCTTTAAATTGCAACGGACCGTTGACATTGAACATTTTAAGCGATCATTACCGCAACGTCAACAGGCGCTTCAGCTTGCTGAGTCCCGTGACGATCTAGTGAAGAAGGAGCAAGCACTACGTCGCAGGGAGCCCACCGGCAATAGCCTTGCCATGATATACGAGGCTGACGCACTGGATCTCGACCAGCAGCTGCAGCAGCTTTTGGCCGAGTGCAATGCCGCCAAGGCACTCTTTACACGCGTGCATGAACGCAAGGCTGCTGTTGCGGAGAAGGAACGTCTATTGAAAAGGAAACTTGGTGAACTAGAGGATCTGCAGCGCGAGGTGCGAGAGAAGCGGCAGGCGCTGACGACGTTGGAGAGGCGAAATGAGCAACGCGAGGCCATGCTGGCTGTGCGTGGGGAGGCCTATCGGAAGGACCTTGAGGCCCACAAGGCGCGGGAGCAGTCCTTGCAGGAGAGGATCAGTGGGGTGGAGGAGCTTAGTCAGAAGGTGGCGTCGTGGATGAAGATATTGGATGAGCGCGACACAAAAATTGAGGCGAAGGAGCAGCGGCTGCGCCGCGTGCAATCGGATTTGGTTCGTCGATCGGAGGAGTTGTTGTGTTACCGCAATGGCCGAGCGAAGCCACCGTCGCGGATGGCGTCTCGGCAGACAAATAGTCCATAAAAAAAAGGAGTGGTTGGGTGAAACACGGCATCGAGCAGAGGACAACACAAAAGAACCACAACAGCAGCCAAAGAAGACTGCGAAACGAAGCGAGGTGGCGGAGGACTTCATTTTAAGATGTATGAGGGGAGTACCCGCCTTTTTTTTTTTCTCGCCTCTTTTCTTTTTATTCGGCGTGATTCTGTGTTTTTGTGTTTATGTTTTCTGTTCCTGTTCTCCTGCTCGTTTGCTTTTTTTCTTTTCGGCTGTCATTGCAGTTTTTTTTTTCTTTTGTGCCGCTCTTGAACGAGATGGCCTATCGTGCTTTTTTTTTCCTCCAATTTTACTCTTTCTTCTCTATTTTGTGTTGGTTATTATTATTTTTTTTTTATGTTCCGTCGCTGCTCCGTCGTTTATGACCGCCCCCTGGCACCGCAGGGAGCGAACATCGGCGGGGGCTCACAGCCAGCGGAGGATTCTCGGTAGGCGGGAGGGGGAGCGGCCTCACTCGATGGCTTGGCCAGAAGGAAGCATGTGTCTATGTTTCCCTCTGTGCTCATCCCCCTTTTTACCCTCTCTCTCTCTCTATATATATAATATAATATATATATTTGTCTGTGTTTGTGTGTGTGGGATTGCTTGCGGTGGATGCTTTATTGTCACATGTTTTTTCTTTTTCTCTTCCTTCTTACACATAATGGCTGGAGGGGAGAGCCTTTTGCTTCACTCATGCCGGGGCGTGAAAAGGGGCGTCGCGTGAAGCGTCAGAAAAACCCACTCGGGGAGGATCTGCACGCCGATCGCTTTGCCAGTGCCAGGCGACACGCAGTTGCGGTTGAAGACGACGGGGACGCCGATGAGAAAGGCGTTCTTTTGCCGGGCCGCACGACGAGCCGGATTCTCAAGACCGCCCGGCAGCAACTCGAGGCGATCGCCGATGAGGAGCAGCTCGGCAGCGCGTACAACGCGGAAGAAGACGACGAGGGCGATCACACTGTGACTGACCCTGGACTGGCGGAACTTGAGTGCGAGGAGGCGTGTCGTGGAGGCGTGTACGAGGATTACGACGAGGACGAGGAGGTCGTGATTGAATACGATGACACGGAGTCGATGGCGACAGAAATTCCCTCCGAGATGGACGTGGGAGTGGACATGTACGGCATGGATGACGAGGAGGTACGCCTGCTACAAAAGTTTCAGCCGCCATCGCGAGTGCAGAGCCGCAACTTGGCAGACATGATTATGGAAAAGATTAGGGAGCGTGAGGGGGCACGCGATGCGGCGGGTGACACACACGATGGCGCCAGTGTTGGGGAGTGGGAGGATGAGCGAGTAGATCCACGTGTTGCGCGTGTGTACACTGCCATTGGTAATATTCTTAAGAGTTACAAGTCGGGAAAGGTCCCTAAAGCATTCAAAGTTTTGCCAAACATTAAGAACTGGGAGCAGCTGTTGATGCTGACGAAGCCGCACGAGTGGTCCCCACACGCCACTTATCAGGCGACACGCATTTTTGCAGCGAATTTAAATGAGCGAATGGCACAACGCTTCTACGCTGCCGTACTGCTTCCCATGACACACCAGCACATGGCAACGGAGAAAAAGCTCCACCCAGCGCTCTACATGGCGATTCGGAAGGCACTTTTTAAACCAGTGGCCTTCTTTAAGGGGTTCATTCTTCCGCTGGCAGCAGACGAGGAGTGTACACTTAAGGAGGCTCTTGTTGTTGCCAGCATACTGCAACGGACGCACTTGCCACCGGTCCCAACCGCGGTGACGATTGTGAAACTGGCGCAGCAGCCATTTTCTGGTCCTCGCTCCGTATTTCTGCGTGTGCTTATTGACAAGAAGATGGCCATGCCTTACCAGGCAGTGGACGCACTTGTTGAGTACTTTCATCGTTTTGTGCACACACAAAGCAGGGAGGATAAATTGCCTGTCCTGTGGCACCAGACCCTCTTGTCCTTCACGCAGCGCTACAAGGGTGATCTGAAGGCCGAGCAGGTGAACCTGCTGCAGCAGGTCTGTACGAAACACTTTCACTATCTTTTAACACCTGAGGTTCGTCGGGAGCTTAACGCCGCTCCGAATGCCGCGAGGGCGGGATACCGGGGGTAAAAGTAAAGAAGGGATCGCAATTGGAAAAGGAATGAAAGGTGCGTGAGTTTTGCCGTGCGGCTCGCGGTCAGGGAGGCGAGCCATGCACGAATACACGAAGAGGTCACGAAGCGAAGGGGAATCCCTCTCTCCGATAAGAACAGCAACCCCAGGGAAAGGGGGAATAAATATACATGCATGCATGCATACACGTATAAATGCGACTGACCACGCCCCACTGATGCCCCTGAGAGAAAAACAAAAAAACAAGGAGGGGAGTGGAGGGATCAGAGCCGCGGTGGTGGTGGTAGTGGCAGTTCAACCTTAAGAAGAGGCGGACAACAAATTAAAGAAGAAGAGGGAGGCAAAGAAAGTCTCGTGCATTTACTTATTACTTTATTTTATTATTTTAATTATCTTTGCCGCTGTCGTTGCCTCGACTTTTAACTTAATTGCCTTTCTTCTCTTTCCACCTGCCTGTGTGTTCTTTTCGCTGCTTCATACCCTTTTGGTTTCTTTTTCCCCTCTTCTCTATTCCGCCCAAACCTCTCTCCTGACTGAACCGAGTCGCAGCTTGCGTGTGAAAAGAGACAAAGTAGGCAGGGAAAAAAAAAGGGGATAAGAAGTTTACGTCCTTCTTTTTCCTCCCCGCATTTGAGGGCGGGTGTTTGTTTTTTCTTTTATTTTTTTATTTTATTTCTAATAGAGAGAGTGCCACTTTATCACACACATGTGGAGGCGCATTTCAGCCGGGAGTCTGCTGGTTCACGTCTCTGCTACACATCGCTGCGTCGCGAAGCGTATACCGCCGCCACTGCCTCCAGGAGCTCGTGGCACACCGCCACGTGCTGCTTCTTTTGGAAAATTACCGCCGCCTCCGCCGTTGCCGGGCGCTGTTGCTGCTTCTACCGGCGCTGCACTGCCGTGGAAGTCACCGCAGGAGGTGTTGTCGGCATTTGTTGAATTTATTCCAACCTTCTACGTCCCTATTCATTGTGTGGCGGCAATACTCTCAGAGGACTGCCGCAAGCATTTTATCGGGCGTGGCCGCTTTCTTTCATTTCTGAAGCGTTACCGTTTTTTCTTTGACTTGCGCATTATTGATGGGGTTCGATGTGATGTCAAACTGCGAGATGACTTGAGTCACCCTCGTCGTGGCGCCGCGGACGAGAAGTTTGTTATGACGGATGTGGGGGATGTCATCAACTATGTTGCCAAACCGGAGTTCATCGTCTCCATTGAGTCGATTGAGCAGGCAAACACGAGCGTGGCACTCAAACCCGCGTGCGCTCCGCCGGCGGTGCATGTGCGGCTGGAAGAGAAGGTGCCGGTGCTGGAGCGACTCAAAGCGCTTGTCCCGGAGGAGTTTGCGTTGCTTGATCACGTTGAGGAGGGCATACCAGAGGATGTCTTGTTTCATCCGTACTTTGATTGCCAAGGCGGTCTCATTTCTATTGCGTCAAAGTTTCCTGAATTTTTCCAGGTGGCGGATGGCATGATACGCCGTCGACCACCGCACCTCGCACCGCTTTCAGTGAACGACTACACGCTGGAGGACTCACCGATTCCCAGCGTCGCGGGGCTTGTGAAGAGGGAGGTGTGTGATAGTGATATCCCCCACTGGGTGAACATCACGTCGCTCTATGAGCAGCTGACGAGGGAGCAGAAGCAGCAGATCAAACGGGAGTACAAGAGTTTTGCGGGATTCTTACGCTCTCACGGACGCTCCTTGTCGCTTTCGCAGGATATGCTTCAGGTGGCGAAATGGATCCCACATCAGCGACGGGCCCCAACCTCGGCAGCATCTCCCGGTGCGTCTGACACGACAGGCAGCCCAGAGGGGACCACCACGACGGATGGAAAGAGTGATGTTGCACAGGCACATGGCGTGACCGTTCAGTATGAGTACACGCATACACAGGTCATCAATGAGCTCTTTGACAAGTTTCCACCGCATCGCACTTTAAATTTGGAGGAGTTACTTGAACTTGTCGCTCCCGCGATGCGCCCCTCATTGCCGAAGAAGGTGCTGGCGTGGATTGCCTCGTACCCGTCCTACTTCATCGTGGACGACCCAACAGAGAAGGACCCCAGTAAAGCCCGCATTCGACGCGCCTCGGATCGTCAGCCACTGGATGTGGCTCTGGAACTGTACCGATGGATCCCCGAGGAAGGGATTTCCGAGGCGGCGTTGCTCACGAAGCTTTCGGAGGTTCACCGGGACTACGTGAAGCGAATTGGACTGCGGCACATTGTGGACTCCCTCTCCGAATGGCTCAGTTTCACGGAGGCGCCAGGTGGCGGGGGCGGGGGCGCAGAGGGGGAGGAAAAAGTCTTTTTGTTAAGACGGCTTCAGACGGAGGTCGAACTCGAGCGTGCAATTCACACAGAGGAGTCCAAGTTGGCCAGCGGCGACGAGAATTCGCTGCCAGCGCAAATTGAGGATGCGGAGATGGAGCGGCGATGGCCAAAGCTAAAATACGAGGGTACCATGAGCCAACAACAAGCGTCAGTTGCGCGGGCACAGCAGCGACGGGGTCGTGGTGACATTTAGGCGCCACCAGACACGGAGGGGGGGAAGAAAAAGAATAATAATACAGCAGAAAAAAAAAAGTAGGACTCGGTCTTGCTCTTTGGGCTTTTGGCTCTATGTGGAGTGAGGGGCGAGCCTGCGCTCTTCACAGGGAATAAATGTGCGTGGTTGTGTTGAAATGCTCCCGCCGCAAGTGAGGGGCGCATTGACTTTTTGTGTATGTGTGTGTGGGTCACTGATTCCTGGTTACAGGGTAACTTTCGTCCCTTGTTTTTGTTTGATTTGTGTGTTTGTGCCCTTCTCACTTTTTTTTTCATCAACCGCTCTGAGAAAGAGGAGCGAGGCAGGCTTTTCTACTTTTAACTTTTTTTCCTTTTGTAAACGCACGCACACACACACACACACACAAACACAAGGTTGTGAGGAAGCAAACAAAGCGCATATAAACTTTTTTACTTAAGAGAAATGTCGGATCCCGGTAAATCAAACACAGCAGCCAGCCAAGAGGACGTCAGCGGCAACGTTGCGTCCAAGAGCGCCGAAAAGAAACAGACGAAGCAGAATGAGAAGGAAGCCCGTAAGGCGGCACGCCTAGCAGAGGAGAACGCTCGTGCGGCGGAAAAGGCAGCCCAGTTGGCGAAATACGCGGATTTATTTGGTGCTGCGCCGCTGTTGCAGTCGACCACGTACTGCTCCAAGAAGTTTAGTGAAATTTATGCACTGACCAAAGAGCATGTGGGCAAAACGGTGACTGTTCGCGCTCGAGTTGACACGACACGCAAGAAGGGCAAACTCGCCTTCATGGTTCTACGCGACGGCACAGACTCCATTCAAGCTATGGCGGCTGTTGC